CAGCCTGTGCTGGGGGAGCTTCATCTTGGCTATGAAGAAAACTGAATTTTCACTGGATGCTTTCTCAAGCCTTGGAACAGGCTGTGCATGGAACACTGGAGTCACCAAGCCTGGAGGTAAAAGCATAGGAAACCTGTTTGGATGTGGCATTCAGGGACCTCTTTACTGATGCACTTGAGAGAGTTAGGTTCATGTTGGACTCCATGATCTTTGTGGCTATTTCCAGCCAAAACGACTCCATGATTCTAAAGCAGTATTCAGAAGCATACTACCTCGGAAGTTACTTGGCCTTTTGTGACTCTTGTCCCCTGAACCTGGACATCATCCTGAGTAAGCAAGAGCTTTGCTCTCCATCCTCTGAACCTGCAGCCAGTTCTGATCAAGCGTCCATGCAGCTGATTTGGATGAGGGAGTTGATCTTCCTGAAAAATGGTGTTTTCTGTGCTGCAGTTCTAATGGATGGGGCAGAGCTTAGAGACCACAGTGCATGGGGGTAGTGGGGAGAAGGATGTTTGGTGAACAGAGGTCTGGAATTAATTGGTGTGATGCATAAGCATCTCTGATTAGGCACATTGGTCTCCAGGACAAGTGTTTGGGTTTCTTGTGCCAGGCAATGTTGACCTTAAGGTCTGGAAGAAAAGTCAGGGTTCAAGGCACAACTGTCTTTCAGGTATGTAATATATATATAACTGTACTTAGTGTTTGTTTATGGATTTATATATTTTGTGTTCTTCTTGACAGTTTGTAAAAACAGGGTTATGCCCTCACAGAGCTGTTGTTTTGTTGTGTTTTCTTGTTATGTGGTATTCTTGCTAATTGCAACAAGGACATTTTCTGATGGTTGGTTATTTTTTCATCAAATAGATTGTTTTTACATCTGCAGTAAGATTTGGCATGTTTCATTGCAACTCTGCATTGCCTGCATATCCTTCTCTGTACATATTATTGCCTGGGCTCAGTTTTCCAACACTTAATGATATCTCACCCTTACATTCCCAATTTCCACAAATACTGCAGAGATCTTATATTCTTCAGATGGATGAGACTATTTGTCATAATAATTCTGCTTAGTCCTGACTATTGGCTATGACATGAACTAATTTAATCCCTAATTACTCCACTTGATAGCTCTTTAAATTCAGAAGGCTTTGTCTTATTCATCAGGGTGTTGTGGAACCTCAATCTTATAAGGAAAATATTGCTTCTCCAAGTGAATTCTTTCAACATGGCAGCAAGTATCAAATTTTACATCCATGGAAATAGATGGTAAGTCTCCAACAGCTCAGGTCTTGCTGTATGCAGCAGTGTGGATGATCTCACTAATAATTATTTTCCTTCAGTTTCACTTTATTTGGAATAATGGGCAAAGTTGCAACCATTTCTGATAATCTTGTCAAGTTTCCTCCCAGTTGGGATGTCGCAGGCAAATAAATATATTTTCTCAATTTTCAGTTGTCTTTGCATTGTTAATTTTGCACTAAACGAGAATGGTCCCACTGTCTGACGTGGAGTAAGACTGTTCAAGGAGGAGGGAGTTATCAGCTCAGCTGATTGTTCACATCAAGCTGTTATTTTCCCTATGTCGGGCCTCCATCTGGATGGGCCAACCAGCTCCTCTGTGCTGTGTTCCTCTCTGCCTTGTTGGAGGTAGAGCTAGCAGGGTAGGCAGCAACTTGGAGTTAGTAATCTCTAGTGTGATGACAACTGATGAGCTGCACATTGATGAGAGAGAGAGAGAGTGGACAACAGTGCCTTCCACTGATGCTGTATTGCATCATCAATAAAAAACACCAGACAGAAGTGAGAATTGCAGAAAGGGATGGATTATCAATGCCTACTCTTGCCCCTTGTTTCTGTCTGCAGGTCCACAGACGTAAATGAATGTAAAGGTCATAATTCTTTTAATTTTCAGAAGCGAGGCTATTGTCCGTGTCTGTGAAGGAAGCAGCTGTATGCTGTCAGCTTGAGGCATTGTGGTCGGGGTGAGCTCAGGTGCGCGGAATCCTGGGGGAGTACACAGTGCAATCTCTTTTGATGCCACTTGGAAATGGGGGTGCTGTGTCCTTCCCCTCCCAAATTGCTGTGCTCTGTCATCTGGCTCCTGTCTGGCAAGGCTCCAGTGTTCCATCAGCAGTAGCATTCCCCACCCTTTGGCTTTTTCAACTGTTGAATCCTTGTCTCCTGTAGGAGCGAGTACTGATGGCTATCCACAGCTCTTTTCCCTCCACCTTGTGTTTTGTTTGAAGGAACAATGAGACCTGACAGTAAGACATTTCATTTCTGTAGTAGGGATTGTTTGTATGGGAACATCAAAAATGTAATTTAGACATTAAACATGTATGAATATTCATGTTAAATGTGTATGTGCACACACAAATATGGGTGCATACATATTTCTTATATGGCTGTAGCAGAACTTTGTCTTTCTCTCGATGTGCTTTTTGAGAGACAATAGTTGGTAACTTTATGAAAGTTTCTGATATAATTAGCCAATCAGAATGGCTCACTAATCCTCATTTCTACTGCTTGTTCAGAACTGTTCCAGTTTTTGCATCCATTCCCTACAGTCATCTCTGGGCCTTAGTTTTAGCATGAGATCTTTAGCCTTAATGACAGCATGTAGCTCTGGCTGAACTCTTCTTCCTCTTCCAGAAGACAGACAAACTTATTTTGTGATCAGTCATTGGAAAATCACGCAAACTTGCATCAGAAGGCTGAGCAGTGTTAAAGCAGGCCCCGTATTTTTTTTAACTCCTGAATATGGGTATAGGGATGCTTTTAATCTCTGACAGGTTTTTTGAATATATAATGTATATTCCATGGAATCTATGTGCCAGGTCTGGCAAGGCAGAATTTTCTTGGGAAGTGTTCTTCATCCCGAGAAGAAGCTGCAAAAGAACCAGTAGGAATTGCTTACAGTGGCGCAGCAAGTGTTGAAAATCAGGGAACTTACTCAAACGTCTGAATGTGAATATAGATACCTAGATTTGAAATCTTGAGCCATGATAGAATAAACTCAGGAATTTTTACAAGCAGTGCTCTATATCTGTATCATGTTGTGAACTTTGAATTGAAGAGTTTGACTATGGTAATTATAATCTTTACTTGCGTAGCTAAACCATATATGTAAAAAATTGTGTTCCAATTATCTGGAACTACTTTCCTTCCCCAAATAAGTAATCTTTCAGCTAAAGATAAGAGAGAAGAAGTTTTAGAATTAGTTTGGGCAAGCAGAAGTTAAAGTAGTATTAGTTTACAAGTCTAGCTATGAGATTTGTATCACACCTTTACAGTGAGTGTCTTCTACACAGAGTAATTGCAAAGGACCTTTATTGAGAATATTTTTATGGCAGCCATAAGGAATAAAAGGATAAAAGGCAGAAGAGTAACTCTGGCCATTTGCCTTCTTTCTCCTGCTATGTACTATACTATAGTACAGTCCAATAACTTTTAAATACTTTGCGGCTGCAGATAAAAGGCTGATTTTTCCTGAAAATTAAAGTAATTTTGTATCCTTTTTTTTTTCAAGAATAAAAAGGAATCATTAGGACCTCTATGACTGTTGTGCTCTACAATTAGACAAAGCTCTTTTATGGATTAGATACAGCCTGTATATAGAGCAGGTGTGCTCACAAAATGTGCTTGAAAAAAACCAGGATGCTTAATAGATTTATGCCTAGCTTTGTTACATTTGGAAATTCTCTCTTTGTATTGCTGCCAAAGATGCAATTTCAGGTTCCCAGGTTTTCTCCAGTACCATTTGAACTGCACACTTTGTGCTTAAACCCCTCTGACAGGTGACAAACAGGAGAGTAGAACTCCCTGTCTATTTCAAATACTACATGCAGACAAAAAGAAGATACCAGGTCATTTACCCAAGGCAGGGGTTATACCCACTGCTGGGGCCTGTGCTCCTTGCAGGATCCTCTCAGGGAGAGACACAGCCACATCCCAGGGTGAAGAGCCCAGGGTGGGGAGGAGGACCTCTCTGTGCAGCACCTGTGCAGGTATCAGCTAAAAAAACCAGACATGCACATGACAGGCCAATGTGATAAGGGAAGGTAGGAAACAGACAAGTGGAAGGAAGTAATTTGACAGCACCACACCACTCCATCAACAGCTTTGCTAGATGAGTTTTTTGTAGGCATTGAGCCTTGCATATAACCTTGAATGATTTATGGTAGAGTAATGAGATCCCTCAGAAGTCCTTCCCAGGCATGGAAAGCAGCCTGTAAGAGAGGCTGGCATAATGACTGACTGGAGAAATAGAGAATAGGCAGGGGCACAAAACTGGAAACAAATACAAGATCTAGAGATGAGAGTAGCAGTCATGTTTGTGCAGGCATAGCCACAGCATATGTTCCTCTCCTCTGATGGTTGGTCACTACTGAGAGTCTGCAATGGCAGTGAGCACAAATGTGCCTCAGACCAGCAGGAAATTGTCTGCTGCAGCAGTTTGGATTTTAGAATTTATGGGGTTGTGGTTTCATTAACAAGTTTGGAGCTAAAGTCTAGCCTAGCCACTCTGGGGTTTACTATTGTAGTTTATAATTTTGTACAGCAGTAAACAGAGGAAAAGACAGGTCCCAGTTCTGCTGATGGGCAAGATCAGATGCTTGTGTACAGGCTATAATATTAAAACCAGGTCATAAATTAAAGAGGTCACAATCAACTTGAAAACCTTTTTTACTTTCTTTCCATATTGCTGCCGATAAAAGGAAGACAAGATATTTCAGTAGCAGTCCCAGCTGTACTGTTTAGTTAACATTTCCATGTGAGGTGTAACTTCTAGATTAAACTACCTTTTATTTTTTCCTCAGGATATTGTGTTTATATAGGTCTTTCACAACAGTGTAAGAATTAAGGGCACTGAGAATCTTGTGAAATTCTTTAAAACTAATTTCAGTTGTTTAAAAGGGAAATTTGTCTGTCTCTTTTAGAGTCTATGTATCTCACAAATTCAAACACTAACCTATTTTTTTTTCTCTTTTTATCTGAAGATAAGCCAGGATTAGCAGTGCTGAAGAGGAATAAAATATAATTGATGTGAACTTAAAGGTAAGAAGGAGTCCTTTCCGGCATATTCCCTCTCAGATTTTTGGCAACACAGAGAGTCTTTACTTTCTAGCAATTCAATTTTTTGCAATTGAAGTAATCTGCTTGAGGCTCAGAAGGAGAACTATTGCTCATAGAACCAATTTCCATCTTCTTGGCCTTCTTTGATGTCTGAGAGGCAAGACAGAGGGATGAAGATGGACGGATGGAGGAGACAAGTGGGCCTGGGGGCTGGGCAGGGGCAGCTGTGGGGACCTGGTGGTGGGGAGGTGTTGGGCTGAGCATGTTAATTGTGAAAGGAGAAGGCTGGCTACCCATCCTGAGTGCTGACCCTGAGGGTGACACCTGCTTCCACCAGTCACTGCATCAAGCATAAAGCTCCATCTATGCTGTAATTCTATATCCTGCATGTGAATGGGCTACACTTTGAGGTGCCCATATAGCCTCAGTTACACCCCTGAGGTTTGTGTTCAGCAGATTTAATTATATGATTATTTATCATTTTGTCCACAGGATTTTCCCTCAGACTGTGCATGAGATGGAATTGCTCTGGGGATGAATAAGAGGTGTGCAGCAATAGAAGCATTTGTCTGCAGGAGTCAGATTTCGTTTCTTTCTGGAGTCTGAAAAAGCTGATTGGTACTTAACAACACTTTTTGTGGGGAAAAATGCATTTGGGGTTTGATGTGGCTTTTAAAAATTTTCTTCTTGAATTGGTATTAGAATTATGGGGTTTGTTTTGCTTCCTTGATGCCTGATGCATAAACTAATTATGACAAGACCCTACCAGTCCTGTGCTATTAGGTGAAGCCTCCCTTCCCCTGCCTGGCACACAAGGAGGCAGAGAAGTCTAGAGGGGAGGCAGATGGCAGCATGCACAGACAGGGAGGAAAATGGTCTGATTTTGGGTGAGCTCTTGAAGAAGGACTCTTTATGCTTCTGCAGTTTTTCTACATCCTAAATAATGTATAGTTTTCCAAAAGGGACATTTTCTGTCACAAAATACTTCCTCTGGAAAGTTTCCAGTAAGGGGTTCTGATTGACACAGGAGATTCCAGGAAAAAAAAAAGGAAATGATGGAGAAGGCATGGGTCAGTCCATGTTTCTGCCACAAAGCTGTGTTGGTTTTGGTTAAGTTGTTGTACATTAACTTTTCACAGTCACCAAATCTCCCCTGTTTTACAGGCAGCTGCATTGAGGCAATTTGTAAAGGCAACATATGTTTACAGATGTAGTAAACACCACCTACATTCAGTATAAAACACTAGAGGTTTGGAAGTCTCAATGACAAGTTTTTCGAATAGGGTTTTCACAAATACAAGCCCTTTGTTAAACTGAGATTATCAGTATTTATTCATGTTGAAGTTGTTGTGGAAATAAATTAATTAATGATAATTTAAAATTAGTATAACAGAAAAAGTCATAATAACATAGTGACAAGTTGAGCTTTGAGAGCAGACTGAGAAAGCTGTGCAGGCACTGATGAGAAAACAGCATAGCTGCTCATACTTTAAACCAGTGCTATGGGTGGACTGGAGCAAGGAAGGAGAATTATTTGAACAAGTCACAAAGGAAATGCATGGAGGACCTTTTCAGGGCTTTGCAACTTTAATAATGCTTTTTGTGGGACACAGAAAAATGATGGTAAGTAGGTAAGTAGAGCTCCCCTAATGCAATAAAAGAAATAGTATTTATTTTAGTGGTTACAGTTTTGAAGGATCTGCAAGCTTGTAGGACCACTGAACTGCTTGTATTAAAACATGTATTGTGTCTCTCTCATATAGTCTAAATAACCTACTGTGCCTGGGTCTGTAACCCTTTTGAATAACCTCAACAACTCAGTTGCAAAAGATCTATTTTGCTGAAGGAAAAAAATTCAACTTCTTGGGTATTTGCATTTTGAACTACCCAGGAAGGATTAGGTACTAAACACTTTGAAACATCCAATCCCAACTTACAATTTAATTACATTATAATAGAAATATTAACTTCTGATTTCCTTGACCTGGCTGGGGAGAAGACCCACTTTATCCCATCACCTAAAACCTTGTGCATTTTGTAAGGCATGGATTTTCCTTGAAGTCTTAACTGAAGAAGAAGTTTCAATTGCTAGTTTCATAGTCTTTTAAAAAACACACCTCAGATTCATATGTACAAAAATTAATTTCCCAGAGAAGGACTTTAATATACTGCAATTTGTCAAAGAATTTAAAATGTCCTGTTCTTTTATTATCTGGTCAGAGAGAATGAGCTGCTTGCTACTAGTCAAGAGCTAAGAAAGCATTTTTCAGATATTTGACAGATCATTCAGCAGACAATGACTCAAAAGACCAATATCTGCCCCAAAAGTCCATGTACTGTATGCTAAGAAAGGTGAACTTAATAAAAAATAAACTACTGTATTGATAAAAAAATTGGCCAAAACATTACTTTAAAAATTGTAACAATTCACAGCTTACCCTAGTACTTCTATTTACTTGTAGGACATTTCTTTCTGGCTTTTATCTATCTGTATGTTTTCCAGTGTTTTTTTTACAAAAATAAAGTGAATATTTTCAAGATGTAGGATAAATGTTACAATTTTTCCTGCTATTTTTTGGTTTTTTTTGTTTTTTTTTTTTGATGGCAGCTGCATGTTGAACAAATGCAGGTAAGAAGCCCATAGAAATGCATGTTTATGGTTTTAGAGGAAGGGGAGAAGTCTGAATTAAGTACTCCAGAGAATGCTTTTCTAACATGAAAATGGCAAGATATGATAGTGGTATGACCCTTCCAGCTGGTGTTTGTAATCCACCATCTCTACAGAAACAGGTACAAAGCAGGTGCAGAACTCAAGAAACACATACAAACACACCCGTACCAGATACCAGTGCAGAAGGCAACTATTGTAACATTGTCAGTGATGTTAATCACTATAAAGTGATTAATAAAATGGTGCTTCCTTCTGTGCATCAAAATCCAAGCAGATCTGTGCCAAGAATGGTTATCAACAATCTGCTTGCTGCGGTCCTGTGATGGGCCACATGTGGTGGTTCGTGGTAGCAGCAGTGGAGCAAATGAATGCACATGAGGCAACAGCATGGTAAGAAATTATCTGTAAAGATCACTTGTGACCCAAAGACTGGCAACAGGAGCAGTGGGACTTTAATCACAGTTTAACCCTCTAACCTCAGTCTGAGCCTATGCGCTACAGATTCATCAAAACACCCTCCTTGACTTGTGCTGAGCACTTCTAGTCCATTCCTACCTCTGGGCCTTTGGTTTGGCAGCTGCTTTTTTTTCTTTGGGGACATTTCCTCACTGAAAGGGATTGGTGGTTTGTCTTATGCCCTCATTTGGGACAGCAGTGACCATGCAACTTAAAGCAAGGAATCTGTGATCTCCCCAGAGCCTCACCTGCTGAAGCCCCTCCGTTTGCTTAATTGCACCTGTCCTGAAGGCAAGGCAGTGCAGATTCCTCAGGGGTGAGGCAGAGCACTCAGCAAGTGAAGCTCTGGCTTCTTGGGAGCCTAGCATTACCACCGTGGAGCACTGGGACACTGGTGCCAATGGGGATGGGACCTGGCAGCAGGGAGCCCTCCCTGGATGGGCTCGAGGGAGGGCAGCGCCGGGGTGGCTGACGAGACTGGCGCTGATGAGTGAGCCCCGTGCGAGCAGCGTTCCGCTCCCCTCCTTGGTGACCCTGCGCCTGCAATTGGGTGCTGGGGTCTGGACTGTGACCCCTCCACCCTGCAGGGGAACGTGAGATGGAGCAGGAAATGGGAAGTGAGGTGTCCCAGGTTGCTGTGACAAAGAGACAGGCGTGCTTGGGACTCTGCATACCCAGGAGGCCAACAGTCCCAGGGGATCGTGGGGAAATCTTCTGCTCCCCGTAACACCTTAAAGTCAATTTGTGCCATGCACTGCTCCCATTACTCTGGGATGACCTAATTTTTTTTTTTTTGCAGGGAGGTGGATGGCTGGGATATGTTGCCCTGTGCTTTGATACAGTGCAATTTCACCTAAATGCTGCCTAATCAGACACTCTGTGCCCTCCCACCTCCCATGTCAGCTAATTTTGCCAGAAGGAAAGGTGGCACTGGCTAGCAGAGCTCATCCTGTGCATCCATGTCGGCCTTGTGAGTTTCTTTGGGGCACAGGGTACCATCTGTGTATCTGTGTCTACAGGTAAATGCTCTATTTCTTTTATTTCCAAGATTATGCTCAGGAAGTTGCTCAAAAATACTAGCTTAAAGGAGAAGCCAAAGAGATTTTTACCCTTACCTTTTCATTGATTACAACCTTGGCTAATCATCTGCTATGAATTAAAATAATTTGTGGGCATAAGCAGGTTCTAGGAGTCTGATGTTGAATTTAGAAATGTGGCCATCAATAATGGCAGTAATAGAAGTATATACCTGTAGTTTGCTTCTATGCCTGGAGTAGGAGATAATTATCACTCCTTTCAGCCCTGATTACTGCAGCTCTTGTTCTGATAGCTGGAGCAATGTTTTTTCTTGTTATTCTGAACAATAGCTTTCACAGAGCAGGTCAAGGATATTAAGCTAGGTTGCCCGTTGAAAGGAGATGAAACCTTGCATGCAGCTACTATGTAAATTCTGATGAATCATTGAGGCTCACATGGTTTATGCTTCGCTAGTTTCACTAGTTTATATCAGAAGTGGGCTGTAGTGTTGGGGTTTTTTTTGTTTGTTTTCGTTTTGTTTTGTATTTTCTGGTAGAAAGCCATAAGAAAAGTAAGGTGGGTACATCCTTTTAAGAGAAATCTGAGGTAGCTCTTAGTCATCTGAGTTTAGGTGGTTCTCTCTTTGGAACAAATAGCCAACATTACTGATCCCACTGCATTGCCATTTCATTTTTTGTGCCAAGTTTCACTGTTAGTTATTTAAGTGCCCAATTTAAGAAACTGTTTCATCAGTGGAGCAGTAGTTAAGCAATTTGGGCTTAAACAAGGTGAGACTTTGGTCTTCAAATTAGATTTCTCCTTCTATTTGTATTCTTGATACACTGTTCAGAAATCACAGATATTGTTGTTGCTTTTTCTAGGGGAAGACAGTTTTTAGAGTAGAGTTTGTTTGTGAAAGTTTTGTTTTATGTAGATCATAAAATATTGATTTTGATCTCTGTGTTCCTGCCAGATGTTCTCTTTCATCAAGATTTATTTGTTATTTGTATATCCATATTGCTGTGTGGCTCCTAGCCTGGACACGCACCTTTGGATTCCATTTCAATTCATCTGTGTCTGTTCTAGCGGTCACAATGGGAAGATAAACTGGTACACAGGAGCATAAGAAGTGTTGCTTACTGAATATTTCTGAATGTTAATTTAGTACTATTTTTGATATTTTGATAGCAAAATCAAAGACATGAGGTGTGAATAGTATTCAGTGATAGAATTCTGTCATTTGGTTTCCTGCTTTAACTAATTTATATTTGAGGAAAGCTGCAAGTGCAAAGCAGAGGAGAGACTTCCTATTGTAAAATTAGGTGAACTTTGGTTAGACTTGAGTATTGGGGTTTCAGACAGATAGACTAGCAACCAGGGATTCTCAGTATTCCTTTGCAATCCCGGATGGTCTCCCTTATTATTTTATTTATTTATTTATTTATTTATTTATTATTAGTATGCAGAAGTGGATATGTTATAGGTGGTACTGTGTCGCACAGAGAGAAAAATAAACCTGTGAGTCTTGTGATTGCTCAGCTGCTTGGGTAGATGTAGTAGTCAAGTTCCCTTGTAGTTAAGGTTTTGCTCTGCATTAAATAGGTACTAGTAATACCCCACCCAAATTCCAGATTGTTAGACTGTTGAAGATGTGCTGTTGTAGGGTGTTAAAATCTTTGGTACCAGCTTTGACCATAATCAATCCTTTTTCTTTTACAATAGTTCAGGTGGCAAATATGAAACTGAAGGAGAGTGAGATTTAGCCCTGGACCTCCATAACATCTCATCATAATGGCTGTCTGAAACAACTATGTTACAAAAGTTAGATTGGTAAACCTGCCTAGTAGTTGCCTAGTGCCTAAGTCTGTAACTGCCTGTGTATTCCCAAAATCTTTTGGGAAGGA